GGAGAAAATTTGAAACCATGCTCTGTGGTCCAATGAAAAGCCTTATCTAGTGCAAGTTGCATGTGACGTTCAGCCACTAACTTGCGGGAAGCTGCATACCAAGTGGCCAAGTTGTCTACATACAATGAGAAGCTGTTACCCCATTTATTGCAATGGTCCTGAATATGTGGTGCTGACATTTCTGTGGCAATGTGGACCCTAAAAGTCCAACAGCCCAAGAACTGACCTATTATTGATGGTAAATTTCCCTGCAAGCCAAAATTTTGAAGGTCCTTAAAGATGCCGAATCTCCAAGCTGTGTCATATGCTTTCTCTAGGTCGAATAAATACAGATGAGATGTTGGCAATGAGCAAAGGACTCACAGACCGAGGACTCAATACAAACAAGAGCATCTGTTGTTGCAGCATCATCCGGAAGCCAGATTAATATGGTGAAAGAAGGGCATTCTTCCCCAGGTAGTATACTAATCGAGACTTGACCATCTTTTCAAACAGCTTGCAGATACAGGAGATAAGAACTATGGGGCAATATTCTCGAGGGCAAAGAGCCTCTTTTCAAGTCTTCTTGAAAGGCAAGACAGTAGCCTCCCACCATGAGAATGGGGTTGCGAATAGCGAAGTAGTATTCTTTTACCAATAAAAAATTCCAGGAATGTTGAATTTTCCGGGTTTGAGAAATTTGTATCATTACCGGGAAATCTCTCATTCCCGGAAGAGCTCTGCATCAATTATTCAAGTTAGTGGGGAGCTGAATTATATCAACTGTAGCTATACTACCACAAAGAATCTCAAGGGAAAATATAGTTTCTATTATTAGTATAAAAAAAATAAGTAAAATAAAATCTAATCATGATTTTTTCACTCTGATTTAAATCATATTAACTCTGTCTTGAACTACAGAAATTCCAAAACTAAGCCCTGGACATAAAGAATTTGTTGAAGATCTTCACTTTCAGTAATTACATTCCCAACAATCTAGACTTACCTTTAAATTTAAATAGTTACTGGTATTCTCTTAAAAGAAGCATCACTACATACCTCTGTCAATTTGCTGAAGCGGACGGACTTTACTGAAGAGTCATCAGATTCTCCATCAGAGCTTTTTTCTTGCAATTCTTGTAGTTTCAGAGGAACATACTTTGGTTCACTCTGAAAATAAAAGAGAGGGCTTGGTGAGTGGTGTTAGGGCTCTGAACATTTTGAAATAATCATGAAACTACAATACAATTATGTCCCTCTGAAAATATCAAACTTCTTCATACAGCAATGGCCAACTCAAGACTAAATTATTTATGTTAACCTCGACTATACTGTGGTCATACCTTGTTATCCATTAAAAAGAACTGACACGCTTCATATGAGAACACTTTGGGGAGGGGAGGTGGGCAATACAAAAAAATCCAGGGATTTATGGTCCTTTTAACTAATCAGTTTCCTTTCATAGTGGTTCTCCAATGATCAGGTTTAGCTAACACGAAGCTGTGGCCTCTTGAGAGTACAGTAATTGGTACAATATTGCATTTCAAAATTTTTGAGAAGTGAATGTTTTAGTATTTATGCAGTAGCTAGTAAACCTCAATCCTATGTCCAATTTCCCTCTGTCTTGTAATGTCTATGGGCCCAAGGATTTGCATCTGTCCTCATATGACAAATGCAATGTATGCTAACTCTGGGACTAGATTTATTGCTACATGCTGCATTTTGGGGGGAGTAATTCATTATATTTGGCTAGAAAAAGTGACCAGTATTAAACTCATAGTCAATGATAGGTCTGACTCGTGTCAAATAAAGTGGTACAAATATATCCTTATTTATAAAGGTAAAGATACTCTGTATTAGCCAAGTCTACCATTGGCTTTAGCTGCAACAGTGGAAAGCAGGTTTTTCAATAATTACAATCGAAAGGTTGAGTACATTTTCACTTGTGTACAAAGAAATGTATGTGTTTGCCCTCAGGACAATTTTTTTTTTACCTATATTGCATATATATATGTGTGTGTCTACACACATATACAATACAGGTAAAGTAAATTACTGTCTCTAGAACGAATGCTCCTTGTCCCAGCAGTGAAAATGACGGCAACTTTAAAAATACCCGCAGACATTCTTGGGTACATCCAGGGTGTCATCATGCGAATAATAGAGGACTGCGAAATAAAAATTAACGAATTATTCGGGCGTACTGTACATTCAATATAAAAAATTTTCCCAAATCATCTGTGCACTTGTGCTCTTCACATTTCTTTTTCATCACTCATAATGCACAGCAGATTATAATCGGTTATGCTGCCATTATAATGTTTCCTAACAAATGCAAAAGTGATGGTACTGAATCAACACTTAAACTCTGTGACCATGGTGTAAGAACCACAAAAATTATGGCTTTGAAAAAATTTGATAAATTATTAAGTGTTCAATATTTCAGCCCCAAGTTAACCCCTTCACTATGGGGATGCCACTCTTTTAATGTTTTATTTGGTTAATGCCAAATAATTTGATTCAGCAGAGAGCCCCTAAACACAAGGGGTTTATTAGCACACTACAGTATACACTGTACAGTACGAATATAGGTAAAAAAAGACAGAATAATACCGTTTCATTTTTTTTTCAGTGATAAACTATGTTTCATTGAAATTAAAACAGTATTTAGTAAGTAAAATACAGATACAAAGGCCAAACCAGCCTAGTGAGTGCCAGGGCACTCTTGGAGGCACCTGAAAATACTGCACATTTATCTCAAGGCACTCACAGTTGACCCTTAATTTACACAGTACATACAGTACTATAGTTATACAAGGTATTCTTCAAAAACACTGAACAAACAGAAGCCATGTAAAAATGAACAACGAGCCAAAGTCTTGAGGCTTTTTTCAGGTATCCCCAGGTGCTTAGGTCTGTCTCAAACAATGATGCAGATTTTTGCTCAACACCTTTGAAGAATTACATTAGAGTGGCGAGTCAGCAACATAGCTACAGCCCACTGCCTCCCAAGTTCGTTCGTTCATTCTCTCTATCTCTCTCCCACTCACACACACTTCGCTTTTCTTAGTTTATAGTTTATTGCATTTTAATTATTTCTAGGCCACCTTAGAGTATTATAATGATTTTTCCTCAACTTTTATAGCATTACTGTTGTCTTTTATTGTCGTTATGAAAAAGTGCCAGAATTAAGGTAGAGGGGCTCCATAAATGGTTGTAGAACACATCCCCATAAGATTAAGAATTCACTTTGTGATTTCAAGTCAGGCGAAGTTTTTGCAGAATGTAATCCTCGCATGAAGCAAGGGTCAGAGGAATTATGCTTACAAACATACAAAAACACCCGGAAAACACTGAACAGTTGATCAACTGTCATTTCTAAATATCTAATATCAGTCTGGCAGCCATTATCTTGGCATAAAAAAATTAAATTGTCTCTGACTCAGTGTCTGGGTCTTAACCACTTTGGCCTCAGCTCTAACTGGGCCCATATGCTGAATTAGCACTAATGACTTGGTTAAATACTACAGGTATCGTAATTCAAGTGGATTAACAATAATCTCCACTGTTCATGTTATGCCAAACACCAAGAGGTTGAGAATACTGTTATACAGATCTCTCTCAAATGTAAATTTTTATGACAAAACCATCTCAAACAAAAAGAAAAAATCAAAGTTTTTATCCATTTTATGTAAAGTACACACAACAATATAATAGACTGGAGCGGACCTTTTCAGTTCCGAATTTCCCCTTCATTAGATATCCTAAAAATGTCATTCCTTACAGTAATATACCTTTAACTTATACTTTCTTATTATCAAAACTGTTAAACACACATTCAACAAATATAATTCTATCTTCAGTACAACTTCCCTCTCACAGAACATTACAACAATGGTGAATTTCTTTCACACATTATTATTTTCAACAAAATCTATAACTAAAAATTTTATTAAAAATTTCATCATTGTACTTTACCCTAATGACCTGATACAACAGATCACACACACAACTACTAATCCTCCCCCAAAAGTAGATTTTACATTTCACACACAATTTATTCTCATTTAAGTTCTAAATTCACTCCCTCATTTTTCATATTTCTATCATCATAAACCCCAATAAATATTTGTTTTAATTTTTGAGTTGAATGCCAATTTATTTTCCAATTCTTCAACAAAATTTTCTTCCTATAATGCATTCTTAACTTCATATCTTTGAATGCTAACAACTCCTGTACATATGACTGGCAAAAATAATTTAGAGACACCTTTTCATCATTGTTGTTATAAATCGTTCTAGCTTGTTGAATGGGTAAATAGTGCCACAGGACCAAATGTGTCAGTTGAGCATTCGCATCACTGTCTCTCGCAACACTAGATGCCAGCTGGTCCAAAGTGAAGATGGGCACAGGTGGAGGGGTGCGCCTGTCTCTCGTCTGCAAGAGCTTCATATTAATAAGAAGAGTAATAAAAATAAATACTTCTATAATATACATTACAATAATCAGTATAAACCCTGATAATTATTGGTAAAACATTAAAAAATATTTTCCATAAATTTGATTAAGATTTCCTGACATTTTCGCCCCCAGGCCCCGATGTGGGTCAGTGACCTGTGCCCGGGTGGGCTAATCCCTGTAAAAAATAATAATAATAAAATGGATAAAAACTTGGGAAAAAAATAAATAACAAAATGGGGGTAATCAGCCTCAGGTACGTAGTCATCTGAGGTCCTCATCAATGACATAGGTGAAGGTTTCTGAGCACAGTAAAACTCCACACAGTGCAGTAGCTGCGTTCTCAGAAAATGCCAGGTCATGCAAAATAGCAACTTCTAAAGAATTAATGTATTCTCTGGGTTTCAGATTGTTCATAAAACTTGTTAAAAGTAACCTTTTGACAAGTGTTTAAGTATAGATATCCCTCACTATATGCAGTCTGTATACTGAATAGACTTTTGTATAGAAGAAATTTTTAAGTAAGTGAACACTTTTCACTATGTGCTACATATATTCATTAATACATAATTTCTCCTGTCATGCAAATTTTAAACAGGTGTACCCAAACAATTTTGGACCACACCACTCTACTACAACCTATGCAGTTGCAATACATTTATCCATCAAGTTAAATGAGACTAGTGAGGTGGATATGCAATGTGGCACTGAAAGACAAAAAATCCTTTTCAGAGGTAAGAGGGTGGCTGGTATTGAGTTCTATTGGCAAAATTCTGTGTAGCAGTATGCTGAGATGGTTTGGAATTTTGGAGAATGAATCACACTAATTAGGTCAAGAGGTGTATGAGTCTAAATGTGGGGGGAGAAGAGCCAAGAATGACATGGGGAGAGGTTGTAAGAAATGACATTAAGAGTTAAGAACCTGACAAGAGGGAATGCAAAAGACTGTAGAATGGAAAGTTGCCATCAGATAATCACGGCTAATCCACACAAACGTGGAAAATGGTTATAAAACACTTTGCCCAACCCGGTCTTCAAACAATTGTCTTTCCCTCATAAAAAAAAACACCACACTCCTCCACCAGTCTTACCACAACTGCCACACAATAAATTTACTGTTATTTTTACATTAATTTACACCTAATTTAGAGATATAGAAAAGAAAGGTATCGACAGCAGTGACAATAACAATGACGACTGACCATCAGAACTCCCCAATGCTAATGGTAGAGATAACAATGAGGGGCATGAGCAATGAGGAGTTTGGAGGCTTATCAACAACATGCTTTTACACCAGATTTGAGGCTATAATTGAGTCTCTTTCTGAAATTGTTGGAACAAAGCCAGCAATAAGAAATTACTCTATTTAGCTATGAAATATTATGCTTTAATAATTGCTGTATCACCTTAATATAAATGACACAAAATTATTGTAAGGATTAAGGCGCAAAATCTATTTATACTTTGCATAATTTGAACACTGAAGTGAAGGAGTTAATAATACAATTAAGTACTACAAGCACCCATTCACAATTCCATCAACATAATACTTTATTACATCACAACTACAAATGGCAAGTACAATTCAACATACCAAACATCTGACAGCGGTAAATCTTCATCCTCCATTGAATCCACTTCCTGTAATAGCAAGAGAATATTAGAAGCATACTCAACTCAACACTTAATGTTGTCTGGATGTTATTTATGGAAATTTTTGAGCTAGAAAGCTTAAATTTGGACACATTACTGACCAAGTGCTTTGACAATACATTTTTCACTTCATATTAATATACACTCCCTCCCAGTGCCTCTTCAGGTGATGCAGGAAGAATGGGCTGTACAATGAACATACTGTACATCACTACTTGCTTTGCTATTGTTTTTTGTTGAACACATTTTCTTATATTTTTAATTTTATATTTTGCAATATTGATGGAAGTGTAAAATATTTAATTTTTGGTGAACATAACACACATTGAACTGCATGTATGAACTAGCCAATTTGTAAAGTATTGATTGATAAACGATAAAGGTTTTACTGTATTAACCCCTTCATTGTCTCTTAAATATTTCATTTGGCTAATGCCAGATGATTCTATTCAGCACAAGAGGAAGTGAAGGGGATAAGGGGGAAAGAGAAGGCAAAGTTATGAAATAAAATGGTGGTCTGGAGGCCTTGGAAATAAAAGGAATAACCAATGCCTTTTGTAATCAGTAAATATTCTACAGTATGTATAGCATGACTCAAGTCTAGTTAACACAGAAAAAAGAGCAACACAATTACCCTAAAATAAATTTATTTCCATATCACATATAAAAAATATCAAAAAAATAATCTAATATGAATTGCAATAAATAACTTACCTGGTAAATACTCTCATCGTGGTTTCTTTGGGCACATTGGTGTCTCCAGGGGCTCCAAAATATAAATCCCAGCAAATATAGTGAAAACATACTGGTCTTTAAGTATGTACTGAAAAAAGGTTTATTGAAGCCGGTATCATTGAAGATATACTGAAAATAAAATTTGAAAAATATAAAAAAGTCTATTATTTTTCATCCCTTATACCATATATTTATTTTCTCTTAATGTTACATACAGCGTATACTAAAAAGAAAGTGTTTCAGGCTCAAGAGAAACAGATACCCTCCCATTATTTGCTGCTGATCATTCATTAATAACTTGTGCATAAGATGTGTTCTCCTACAGTACTTCCCTTCCACAACACAATCTAAAGATTTCCATCTGCTTTACCCACATTACTTTAGTAAACCTAATACCACCCCTCAGTGGCAGGTCCATCCCCATAAACTACTCAACACCATGATCTCTGCTTCTTCCCTGTTGTCTATTCCCGTTTTATCCATTAAATACACCAGCCCAGTCTTTCATCTCCTTTTTGGTCTTCCACTTTCTCTCCTACCATTTACTTCTTTTTTTTTAATCCTTGTTCCCCCGTCTTCTCAACCTGTCCACACCATCTCAAGAAACCTGGTTAGTCTCCTTTTATTTGCACATCTTATTTCTAAATTTAGTATTCCTTGTATCCTTTTTTCCAGACATTCTGCTCTCAAAGTCACTGTGGTTAGTAAAATTCTAATGGTCAGAATGTGGTAGGGAACAGACTTCATTCTCTCTCTTAATCTTTTCAACAGGTTCCTCCATGACCTCTTCCACCCCTACTCAATCTCTCCGTTACTTCCAGTCTCTCTTCAACAAACATTTAGAAAACAGTTGTGCGGTTTTTCATATTCAAGGCTGTTGAGATGTATGGTACTCAGTGTCTTCAATATAGATACTGTAATGCAAGCATGAGCTTTTCAGGCAACTCTGAATGTAGAAATGAACTGATACAGCAAGTAAACTCTGTAACTTACTATATTTTTCTCATGTTATATCACAGACAAAAACTGAACATGACGTAAGAAAATAATACCTCCGACAATTCTGATGAAGCCACCCAAATGACGTCGACCACCAGCAGGACAAAGATGCCAAGGGCCAGACGCCTCCCTCGACCCATCATAGACCATCACTGTTAATCATGTTAGTTGTTAGACAGTGCAGTAATAAACACTAAAGGCACATAGGTTACAGTACATGGCCATGTCCATTAAAAAAATAATAAATAAATAAATAAATAGATAGATACTGTACAGTACTGTAAAACGACCAAATATCTATTAATATCCACCATTGAACTACCGTACATCTCAAATCCGGTCTGATTGGTTCCTGAGCAGTGCCAGATTAGTGATTTTGCCAAACCACAGGTGATTAGGTTAGGATTAAATAAATAAACACCTCTAACCCACTTCATAACTACCTCACCCTACCTTTAAAATACTCTGTAAATAGTACAAGTTGGGTAATGAAAAGAAACAACAAATGAAAAGCAAGTGAAATTTATTGAAGTATGTATACTGTATATACAGGCAAAATACCTTACTAGGTGTTACTGCCACAGTAAGATGAGAGAGAGAGAGAGAGAGAGAGAGAGAGAGAGAGAGAGAGAGAGAGAGAGAGAGAGAACACCTTTCGTTCAACTAACATATACAGTGATCCCTCGGTTAACGAATTACCTTCCATAAGATTCTTCACTTCGGCTAACGAGCAAACCCCCAGTCAACGAATTCCTTATGAATTTTCCCAACATGTTTTCGCCTGCATTTGGCTGCCCACCAGCTGTAGTATTAGTCCGCCAATACAGTAATCGGTTCTAGGGCTTAAATTCCTTACCATTTTAGTAAATATCAAGAAGGTTGTACTATTCAATAATTTTAAAAGTTTTATATTAAAATTTTTAGTAATTTTAACAATTACGCACCGGTGCATGTTTCGATTATGACTTTACTATGAGGATCTTGGTTAAATTGCGAAAAAAAAAAATTAAACAACGAACCTTGCAGTTGACCTCAACATGTGTTTAAACGCGCAGCAGAACAGCAACGTGTCAGTCATATTACATGTCGGTTCTGGGGGCCCAAATTCGCCTATTTTTGTAATGTCAAGAAGTTGCCACTATTCAATAATTTTTAAAAGTTTAATATTCAATTTTTTAGTCATTTGCTGAGTATTGAACAAATGAAAATAAAGTGACTAGTTTGTCGCGGCATCAGCCTCTACACATGTAAACGTCAGTCTCCTCTGTTTTCACTGGGTATCTTGCTTGAGACTCTCTTAACTCGCCTTTTTCTGTGTTTCCAAGCAAATTATTGGTCATTTTGAAATATATTTTACATATTGACAATATATAATGCAGTGCAGTGTTGATTTAAAAAAAATAATCTTGAATTACACCAAGAGAGCTAAAATTTTATGGGTGAAATGGCGCCATGGGGTGACTTCTCTTCCACCCCAATGCCTTCTCTTCTGCCTTCTCCTCCACCCCCATTCTAAATCCCATCATCATCATCATCATCATCATCCAGGAGCCTTCTACATACACACCTCAAAGTAAGTGAACTTTTCTACCATTTTTGTTGAATTTAGGAAATTTTTGGTGAGCTGGAACCAATTACCCAAAAACCCATTGAAACAATGGTTTAGGTTAGACGTTTCGATTAGCGAAACGACCTTCTGGAGCAGTTGAGTTCGTTAACGAGAACCACTGTATTGAATATAATTGAAGTACAGGAAACTAATTTTTTGCACGCCAAACAGCCACTCAACACAGAGCTTGGCGTCAGTTTGTTTACCAGTTCAGAGGAAGGAACATCTTGTTTGAGACTCTTCAACATAAAGGCTTTTTTTCTGCGTTTCCAGTCAAATTATTGGTCATTTTGAAATAGATTTTACATATTGATAATATATCGTGCAGTGCAGTGTTGATTTAAAGAAAATAATCTTGAATTATACCAAGTGAACTAAAATTTTATGGGTGAAATGGCAGCATGGGGTGGCTTCTCTTCCACCCCAATGCCTTCTCTTCTCCCTTCTCCTCCACCCCCATTCTAATTCATCATCATCATCATCAACCAGGAGCCTTCTACATGCACACCTCAAAGTAAGTGTACTTTACTGCATTTATTTTTAGTTTGCATGTAATTTTCGGTGAGCTGGAACCAATTACACAAAAACCCATTGAAACAATGGTTTCAGATAACGAGCAACCTTCTGGAATGAATTGTGCTCGTTAACCGAGGGACCACTGTACAACATATACCTTTACCAAGAGGATATTACACCAGCTCTCGTTGGTCAAATCATAGACCCTAAAACGTGAGTGTGAACTATTAAATCCTCTAAAAAACTCTAAATAACCTTAATAAGTATATTTACGTACTGTATTTTGATAATATAATACAAATTGTCTCCTGATGTATCAACAGTTGTAACATGTGAGTTATATTTAACAGGCTATGTACTGTACATTGATTGTATTATTCATACTGTGTGTCCTGAGATAACAGCATTTGTTATATGTGAATTGTTCTTTAACAGGTTTTGAACGAATTATATGGTACGTGTCATCGTTGAGGGTCTTATTCTCCAACCCAAATCAATAACGCTCCTATGAGCGTTAACACAAGGTATCTGTATTTACTTACATCAGAAGGTTGGTTATTGCCACTTCCAAAGTAAAGAGTTGGATTGTACAACTAAGCAGAGTTACATGCCTGAAAGCAGGGGGTCATCAAGACTGTCTTGTGTTTCATCTAAAAAGTGTTGACTCCTGTCTTACAGATTTCTCTGCTATTTTTCTGAACATATCCTGCAAGCTAACCTGTTTCATGTATTTTGGTCTTTCTTTGATTAGTTTTTCTTGTAACATGTAAACATTCATTATTTCCTGTTCAGTAACAAAAGTGCGTTGTTCGAGACCTTTTATCAATTCACCTGTCAGCTCAACTAACTTATCAATGGACATTCTTTCAGCTACCTCTTCCTAGTTTTCATCATTACTTTCTCCCCCACTGCTGTTTGTCTTTGGATTTACAACCATCTGAACAATTTCAACGTCAGTATAATGATGAACAGTTGATTCATCATCATCAACACCCATCCACTCGTTAATGTTATCTGCATCCAGCCTCGATGCAGCTTCCTTCGCAGTAGGATTACCGAGATCTTGAGCATAAGAAAGCAGTTCACGTACAATCTGATTTTGACTTGAAACCCTAAATCCCGTAAATTCATTTCCAATTTCCTCACCAGGTGCAGAACTGAACAATAAAGCTGGCCACAAATGCCATCCGTTTTTCAATGTTGATGATTCTACTGACTGCCAAGCATTTGCAACTCCATAAATCACATCTCTCATATAACATTCTTTCATAAATTCATTTACTGGTTTGCCAGAGTTACATGCACTCAGTAGCCGTAATATGCCATTGTCCAGGGGTTGAATTAATGATGTACAGTTAGGTGGCAGGTAGATACCGTAAATATTATTCTTCGCCAAGAGTTCTGCTTTTGGATGTGCAGAGCAGTTTTCTAAAATCAGCATTATCTTAGTTTTTTTCAAACCAACAGTCACAATGAGCGCTCTTGCTGCTGGAACAAAGTAATGTTCGAACCAATTCAATGTAATGTCAGTTGTTATCCATCCCTTTTTGTTAGCACAGTAAATAACTGGAAACTGTTTCATACCTTTGAAGTTGTTATCCATCCCTTTTTGTTAGCACAGTAAATAACTGGAAACTGTTTCATACCTTTGAAGGCTTTGGGGCGTAAACTTTTGCTAATGACTAACAACTTCACCTGTGGGTTCCTGCAGTGTTAGAGCAGCCCAACACAGTGACACGATCTTTTGATGCTTTATAACCTCTTGGTAATTATGTATCGTCAGTAGTCAGTGTTCGCCTGGGAGCACAACACCAATATATGGCGGTTTCGTCTGCATTGTAGACCTGTTCGGGACATAAATTTTCATCCGAAACTAACTAAGCGAACTCGTCTACAAACGCAACAACTGCTTCCTTGTCCGCCGACCTTTTTTCACCACACACTGCACGAAACTTTATCCCATGTCGCTGCTTGAACCGCTGAAGCCGCCGTTCAGTATAATCACACGCATAATCTATTCCTAATTCTGCATGAAATAATTTTGCTTGCTCCCTCACCATCTCCCCGGACAGTTCCACACCTTCACTAACGTGGTGTTTAAACAACTTTATCAGAACTTTATCTAGCTGTGAACATCTTCCATCTTTCAATGTTTTCCTTATGGACATCTGTTTCTTTGATTCACTATCAGCAAAGAACTAGAGCAGCTTTCCTTTCTGTTTTTTTATGTCATACACTGTGGAAGGCCAATGGTATACAAGTCGCATATGCTGCAACGGACACACCACTGTCGAGTTTTTTGAGAAGTTCAACCTTATCTTGTATAGACAACGTATGGTGTTTGCACTTTACACCACGAGAAGCATTTCCTTTATTCAATGAAGACATGACTGGGGCTAAATAAGAGCAGTTTATAATAATAAATGAAGAATAACACAGAGGAATAACTTGCCGCTCCTCAAACACCGTGCCAACAGCCGAGTCAGCTAGTGGCGCCACCAAACAGTAGCGGCGGGTTGGCGAGGAGACCGGCGCGAAATTTGAAAAATACAATTAACCGCGGAACTGATATTGATTGCCGATATGTGGTTCACTTACGGTCACATAATTAGGGATAATCACATCAATATTAATGGGCAAAGTTCAGGATAGGATAGGCAGGGAAAGGCAGAGAGATCGAAACCTTTAGGTGATTGGTAAAAACAGCCTGAGAACATTTAGAATGGAGGTAAATTAGCTTCTATGACTGCATCCATGGATTTTTTTTGTAATACAGTCCTGGTAGCAACTATAAATGGCAAAGAAGGGGGAGCCATGGCAGTATGGTCAGACAGTTATTTAAATTTTAAATGTGATATTCAGTTCAATTAATGTGATTTATAAGAAGCCTAATAAAATATTACAAGAGTGTACAGTATAGTGTTCTTTCACTTAGCCCACCAATGGAATTTACCACAGGATGTTAACGAGCAGGGAAGGGGGCCAGTGGTCAATGGAGCCCCAAATCTGTCTTAGTCTAGCCCTGCATCTCAAGCTACCACCACCACTTAACTCTTTACACCATCTCAAACGTGTTTCTGTCATGCATACTAGTCCTCTAATCACTACCCATACATTTCACAATTTATGAGTATAAAACAATTTGTGTTAGCCACAAGCCTGCTAGCTACTGCCTGGGAGGGATGTTTAGCTTTTTTTTTTTTAATTGTTCCAGGTCTTGTGTCATAACCCTTTTAGCTAATATCATAATTTATTTTAAATAGGTATGATTTCTAGGTATTGCACGAATATATAAAATCATAATATTGCTTAATACCATTAGCGATTGTACCTTTCCAGCACCCCCAATTTCTGAACATTTATATTTCCAGATAATTGGTTTTCTTTAAGTCTGTCCAAATTTATGCTCACATACAGTAGTAACTTTTCTTGTTAAAAGAATTATCACAATATATTGCCCTTGAAGGAACTTCAGATTAGCGTCTAAATTATCTTGTCTCAAGATTAGATACTAGAGTACAATCTAAACTTAGACTACAGGTACCAGTACTTGAATAAATATTTAAAAAAAATTGGTTTATGCTGTCAATCTTATAATGATATGAAAAAAATCTTAAGCTCAGCCAAACTTCTCTTTCCTTATTTTACCATAAATTCAATAGGAAATGTTCTCAATAATGTATAGGGTTGAAGAGCTGCTGTGATCGCGACATGAAGTTTGGAAGTGCTCAGTGGGCGGAGCAGAAATAACTGGAACCACACAAGAGGCCTTAATCCATCAGTATAATGGTACAGGCTGATGATCCCAATGAATGAAGTGTTAGGCAAACTAGATTTCAAGAACACTTTTAACCTAATAAAAATACAGTGATCCCTCGGTTAACGAGATTTCGGTTAACGAGTTACCTCCCATAAGATTCTTAACTTCGGTTAACGAGCAATCCCTCGGTTAACGAGTATCTTACGAGCCGACCACAACAAGTTTTTTCTCTTGCACTTGGCGGTCAACCAGCTGTAGTATTAGTCCGCAAATACAGTAATCGGTTCTAGGGCTTAAATTCCTTACTATTTTAGTAAATATCAAGAAGTTTATACAATTCAATAATTTTAAAAGTTTAATATTAAATTTTTTAGTCATTTTAACAATTATTGAACACAATTGAAGGTAAAGTGACTAGTTTTATGCGCGCCATCCAGCCTCTCAACACACCATACAGGCGTCAGTCTTTGTGTCTTTTCAGTGGAGGTAACATCTTGCTTGAGACTCTTCAACTAAATAATTTTTTCTGTGTTTGCAAGCAAATTATTGGTCATTTTGAAATTTATTTTACATATTCACAATATATAATGCAGTGCAGTGTTGATTTAAAGAAAATAATCTTGAATTACACCAAAATTTTATGGGTGAAATGGCAACATGGGGTGACTTCTCTTCCACCCCAATGCCTTCTCTTCTCCCTTCTCCTCCACCCCCATTCTAATTCCCATCATCATCATCATCATCCAGGAGCCTTCTACATACACACCTCAAAGTAAGTGTACTTTTCTACATTTTTTGTTGAATTTAGGCAATTTTCGGTGACCTGGAACCAATTACCCAAAAACCCATTGAAACAATGGTTTCGGTTAACGAGCAACCTTCTAGAACGGATTGTGCTCGTTAACCAAGGGACAACTGTATATACATTTTCAATGATGAAGAGTGCCCTCCCATTCACTTTTTGCTCAGAACAAGAAATTTAATGGCTGTAAATGTTTTGATAAATTGTGCATCAACTCATTTAGCAAACAGGAGCATATGTGCATCTCTCTAAATTCTGTGCCTTTCCTTACAGGGTAATATAGGCAGAAAGAGGAAGAAGACAAAGAAATTCAAGCTGAGTTATGGGCCTCTGCCTCTGAAAGCAAGGAAGACCTAATTACAATATTATGCTTTAAGTTTGATGTTTTTTGCACATTTATAAATGTTAATTTATAAGTGATGTACTGTAAATATATGCACTCCAGAGTTATGAAAGGATTCTATTCTTGATTTTTTTTTTTGGTACAGTATATCAGATCACATTTTCACAAAGATTCCCATTGTAAAAGCTATACAGTACAGTACTGTATTCCTATAAAAAAATCCTCCAGAATGTCCAGTTAAAAAGAAAATAAGGTATTATTGTTTTGGTCATCCAGCAGGTTAGGTTTAGATTAGGTTGGGTGTGGTTGAAATTACGTTTTTCTGATGGTTTTTGATGTGTTTTGAAAGATTAATTTCAACTTCCAATTAGGTGGAAAACCGAAACGATAATTTTACCAAATATAAAAATATGTTTTGAAGTATCGCATACATTCACTTTAGTTTAAAGTACACTACAGCAATAATGTGCATATCTCTCACCAATATGTCAAGGGTTCGGGCCCAGACACATGTGAGAAGGGTGTAATCCAGTGTGACCCTATCAAATATCACAGGTTTCCCGACCTCCGGTTTTCTCCTGTACTTTTGCCTCACATTTTCCCTCTCCTTCACAGCCCTGCCAACTTTGAATAACCAATATTTTTGGTAATTTGTTTATTTATTTATTTTTTATTTTTTGGGGTTGGGGGGGTCATATTAGTCAAAATACTAAAAAATCTAGTATTACAAGGGAAATGTAATAGAATAAAGTTTTCTATTTCTTTTCCCTCCTTCTCCCTATAAATTACAGTATACTGTACTGTAAACA